TATAGGTAAATATACCGATAAATATATCTCTAAAATATAAAGAAAAAGGAAGAAATTATGTGGCAGGTGCATTTGCATAAAAGAACATGTTTGCATCAAAAATTGAATTATTTAAAGAATTCATGCTTTCATATGACAAGACATCAATGGAATAAAGACTTTAAGAAAAGCCAAAATTATGAAGATATGAAATACGATTAAATGTGCAAATTCAGCTTTTAGTTAGTTACCTCTTAACAATATTCAGCACGTTCTATACATATGTATTTTTTTTTATTTCAATGATATGTAAAACAGGAAGCAAACATTCCTCTCGAAACTACTATACGGTTTACTTAAATGTTTGATTTAGATATAAATAAAAATGAAATATTTTGATATACACTATCATCCATTTAATAAAACATTGACATTTAAACCTGCAATTCACATCCAGTTAATGTCAATTTCCCCATATCTAGAAAAATAAATATCCCGCTTATATAAGATCCTTTTCTGTTTGCGCAATGACTTCTGAAATAAGAATGCAATGGTCCTACGCCCTACATTAAAATAGGGAAATGCAGAGCTGCTACAATATCCGTTACATTGACGTTTTCACATGTTCTTCATGACAAGGATGTCCAGATAGAGGGATACAGAATATACTTATTTCATTCAAAGAATTCATCTTTTCAACAGCTACATTACTCAAATGAGTGAAATGCAAGCCAAAATTATGCAAAATATGTTACACTTTTTCACCTAAGAATGAGGATAGCGAAGATGCCAAAGTTTCTACAGAGAAATTTTGAGGAATTTGACTTCAGAGGCAGGTTTATGGAGTTTTGTCGTCAGGCCCACAGTGTGATTTGATATCCTCTTTTTCGATAAAGCTGAAAGTCGTAAATTAACTGAACTTGTCGTTAGTCATATGCAAAATAATTTAATTAAAATATTCTAATTGTACAGACAACTACACCAAAATTGATATTATTTTGTTACTGATTGAGAAAATCTATGCAGTTTTTTGAGACCAGGTCATCAAACAACCTATTGGAATTCCCAACGATATTAATTTCGCCCGTTATTAGCAGATCTATTTTCGTATACAAATGAAGCAGAATTTGTCGAAGATGTTATACATGAAAAAAGGAAAACACTTGCCTTCATCTCGACATTTAGATATACTTGTATCGACTACGTATTGTCAATTGTACAATGGCAATTTCCATTCTTATGTCTATATGATATATCCTGTTGAGCTTGAAATAAACAATACCACAGAGTCTTAAACATCTGTTTCACTTTTAGATATTTTAATTGAAAAGGAAGTTAATGGAAATCTAAAACAAAGCTTTATGATAAAAGTGATGAGTAACTTTTCAATCTTCAACTTTCCTTATTTATACAGAAATATACCATCATTACCTGCAAACGTAGTTTATATCTCTCAATAGACTCGATACATAAAAAGCATACTCTAGGTATGGACATTTTCTAAAAAGGAGGCACATTATTGACAAACAAGTTCGCTGTTCAACAAGAAAACAGCAGTGTTGTTTAAAGTCATCATTTCGTATGTTCTTTGAAAGTTCTATCAAATTCTGACGGACGTAGTCCATACTAATCATTAGGCCATAATTAACACACAAAATTTTCAAAGGATTTCTCCGTTATTTCCCGATCATGACAAGAAGCACACGACAGGAATGACAGGTCAGCCGGGGATGCTCACTCCTCCATGGCATCTTATCCAACCTCTGATGTCTGGAGGTCCATGTTTGCTCTGCTCCAAACTTGTAATGTTTAATGGACTTTTGAGCTTGAACATTGTTCGATATTACAAAATATTTCATGATTAAGGAAGTCGCATTGAAAAAATGCGTCATTGACAGCACGTGTTGTTGCTTCATCGTGCCATCGCATTGTGTTATTGAATTCAGATTCCAAATATATTTTGCGTACCTTGTTCGCTGATCTCCATTCAAAAAGTTATTCAAAAATCATGCATTTACTAGATAACAAAGGGAATTTTTAATTCAAAAATTAGGTAAAATCTATTGCATCCAATTTAACGATTTTCCAAACACTTCATAATTATACAACTTTACATACGATAAATTGAAGTTAAAGGGTTTTTGATCTTATAGACAGCTCTTTTTAAGAAAAGAAACTCCTAAATACTACATTTTGACTATTTTCACAAGAATACTTTTAATTTTAAAATATAAAAAATGCTTGAATTGTTTCTGGTTTACAAAATCTGTGTAGTTTTTAAGTTATTATAAGTTATTCTAAGTAACAATTTGTCTGCTAAGGTAGTTGATGTCTCTCGGTTAATTTGTAATGCAAGAACATTTTTTTCCTTTTTTTAATTATTTTTTATTTTTTTATTTTTACAGATAATTGACAATTTATGTCCTAAAGCTTAAATCAAAATGAAAAAATATATGGAATAAATAAATCAATAAAATATGCTATTTAATTAGATATTATCCTGGGTGTGTGTCATCACCACAACTGAAGCAGCTTTTCTTGGACAATATTGTAATGACACCATCACATGTGACTATACTGGAGGACTGTGTCATGCCTCGAACTGTGGATGTGACACAGGATATGGGGAATATAAAAGAGAGTGCAAATCAAGTAAGTCTACTTTAATTAAGATCAAGACAATTTGTATTATAGATGTGTATCTGTTGTAAATATGATATATCTGCATTCCATGCAATCAATATTGTAGTATTTTTTGTTAGGATGTCTCATAAATCGTGAGCTATTGAAACTCAAATGAAGAATCCCCGCAAAAGTGAAAAAATCGAAAAGTCTCATTATCTTCAAAGTCTCACCCGCGCATCTGTCACAGACTTGATTCTTCTTTGCATGAAATTCAACAGAGTGTTTGTCTCAAACACTGGCTATATTGGGCATGGGTAACCAGGCCGAAAAAATAGTTAAACGACGTGCGCATGCGCCAGTGAGAAGAACAAAAAAGAATGTTGACCGGCTCAAAACCCCAGATAGCGCAATTGTTTTCTTCCAGCTTTAGGGTGAATGTAATGATTATGACAGTCCTCTGTATTGAAAGCGGTTTTTGTGGTCGGGAGGTGGTGATGGAACAGGTGGAAGGACGAATAACTCGATCATAAAGTTACTCTGTTTTGCGTTAACGTCATCGACAGGCTTGGTTGGAAACCATTCCTGACCCTCCCTGATAACGGGTAAGACGTTCAAGGGGGGGGGGGGGTTAAAAGAAACTTCTTAGTAACCCGTTGTTGCCTTTATCCTTACATAGGCAACTCGAAAACCAGCCCCATGGAGCTTCCGTAAACTGTACCAAGATTGCAAGAAATTCATATAATCTGTAAATACTGAAAGACAATATGTATACCTTAGGAGATTTGTTGACAATCTTGTCATCAATTTGCACGTGTTTTAAACATTTTCGTGTTTTCAATACCTAACGTCATGCATTTTTTGGGTTGAGTAATTCTGAAAACTGATTTTGGTGCATAATAACTAACATTCTCATCTGACCAATTTTCGTAATTTTCATGCTGTCAAAAAAATTTCGAATATTATGCTACCCTGCTTTTCTTTTTTCCTTTCAGTATATATAAACAAGACTACTATGGAAAGTGATGACAAGGACAAGGGAAATTATTCAATGGAAGATTCTTCAGGTAAAGCCTATTGGGAGCTAAAACAGATGACAATGTTCAAAGGAAATGGTTCTGATAAGTATTTTGGTATTTGTGATAATATAAAGATGAATATGTTTAATTAAACACTTAAAGTTTCAAAAACACTACATTTAGCAGAGTACTTTAAGTATATTTTACAAATAGATTTATTATTTTATTGTTTTTTAAAATTTTTAAATCTGGGCCCAAAGAACTCATTAGAACAGTTGTCAAAATGAATTGCTGCAAATTGTTGGTCCATTAATTTTTTTAACGAAAAATCTCTACAGATTTTTCTATTTGTCCAATCATGATATGAAGTACATAGTGAATTTGACAGATTTTCAGAGGAAGAATAAGTTAGATTATATGATCAGTAGTACTGGTCCCTGCCGACAAAGCAGGTAACAACATTGTCTTTGATTGTAAGGGTCATAATATAAATTGTATTTTAAAAGAACTTCGATTTCATTCTACAAATGGTAATCCAACTGATACTCATACTTCCCTTTCTAAGGAAGAAATTCTTCAAAATCATGTCAGTTTTGAATATTTTTAATATTCCGAAGAACCAAAATGATTTTGAACTATATATATATATATATATATATATATATATATATATATATATATATATATATATATATATATATATATATATATATATATATATATATATATAAGTATTCGTACAAACTAAGATACATTGCGGGTTCCAGTAAATGTTCAACCAAGCCTCCTTCTTTACTCCTCACTAAGATATTTGCAGTAGTGAAGGAAAAACTTTAAGAGTCCTTTGTAACAATATATTCAAGAAGTGGTGTGAATCATATTTGTGTACTCAAAAACTCCAAACAACTCTTGGACAATGTGAAATCTCAAGATTTTACCAAAATCAACAACTTAAAAACTTAAGACTTTTCAACTTTATACGCAACCATTCCCCCCGATAAATTAAAGTTCAGGCCTTTTGAGATCATAGACAGCTGCTTTTTCAATAAAAATGGAACTCGTGAAAATTAACTTACCTGGTCATTTGTCATTTGCAAAGTTATTTTGCTAAAACGTATTGTGATTACACACACAAGCTAGTACTCTGAAGTTGACACCAAAAAGATGCCTGACTTTCTGATTGAGAATATCTATGTGGTTTCGGAGACAAGGTCTTCCAACAATCTTTTCGAATTCCTATGGGTACCAATTGCGCTTCGTTATCAGCAGACCTATTTATGTATTTATATGAAGCAAAATCTGTGCAAATCTTATGAGTGAAAAAGAAAACACTTCCTGTGGCCTTAACTCGACATTTAGATGAAGAAGGATATGGAGATAACGAACAATATTCAGTCTCAAAGTCCATAAAACATTACAAAATAAGAGCAGAACAAACACAGACCCACAAAACATCAGAGGTGGGATCAGGTGCCATGGAGGAGTGAGCATCCCCTGCCGACTGGTCACACCGTGTGCTCCTTGTCATGACAACGTATTGTTATATAAAAAATGTAGAAAAAAAAATAAATTTTCATTCCTATATCGATACGATATATCCCGGTGAGCTCGAAAAAAAAGATACCACAGAGTCTGACACACCTGTTTCATACTTGGATATTGAAGTTAATGGTAATCTAACAACGAAGCTATATGATACCACAGTGATGACTTTAACTTTTCTATCGTCAACTTACCTTACTTCTGCAGCAAGATACTTTTATCACCTGCATACGACGTTTATGTATCTTAGTTGATTCGATACGCAAGAGCATGCTCTACGTATGAACAATTTCATAAAGGAGGTAAACCATTTACAAGCAAGTTGATGAAACAAGAATATCAGGAGTCTCGTATAAAGTCATTTTTTCGTAAGTTCTTTGGTCGATACAATAACCTTGTAAGCAAATACAATTTATTATTGAGTTGAATGCTGACTGAGGTTTTCCATACTTATTATTAGTCAATTATTTATACTTGAAGAATGACAAAAAGCATAAGGTGGATGCAACCGGTCAGTAGGGTATGCTCACTCCTCCATGGCACCTGATCCCACCTCCGATGTTTGGTCCATGTTTGCTCTGCTCCTATTTTGAATTGTTTTATGAATTTTTATTTTGAATGCTGTTCGTTATCTCCATATCCTTCATCACTCCTCTGTAGCATCTGATGAATTTAGAGGTCACTGTTTGGTCTGCACCCAATTTGTATTTAAATTAACTTATCATGTTGATGACGTGACCTTTTATTTGATAAAAACAACATAGAATCAATCAATAAATTGATAAATTAGAGATCCTTGTTTGTCGATTCATGACAAATAAGGAATTGGGTAGGTTCACAATGGACAATCAAAGTTATCAAGAACAGGAATTCACTCTCAGATGGTGTATATTTAAATTTGTTCACATGAACCTAGGGGTTAAGGTTGGACCACAATTGGCGATCAAAGTTTTACATAGGTATATTTGTAAAAAAAAAATCAAAAATGTTCTTCTCAAGAATAGCAAAGCCAGGAATGGTCATATTTATATGAAAGCATCCTAAGGTAATGCAGATTCAAGTCTATTTATGTCATGACCCTTGCAGGTAGGGAGGGGTGGGGCTACAATGGACGATCCATTTTTCCATAGGAGTATGATAGTATAGGAAAAATCTTTAGGTAATATTCTTCTCAGGAACAGAAAAGCTATGATTGGAAGCATCTACATGCAGTGGAGATTCAATTTTTTAGCTCTACTTGTCACAGGCCAGAAGAACTTATGAAAAAGAAGTCCGTCGTCGGTCCGTCTGTCTGTCTGTAAACAATTTTTCAAAATGCTACTCCTCCTACAGTTTTGGTCTGATTTCAATATAACTTGGCACACATGTACATGTAGACTACACTAAGATTCACAATTCTGTGTATCGGTTTTTTAATTTCGATGAACGGTGTTGCCTTGGTTACTAAAGAAAGAAATTTCTGTGAAATACTTTTAAAATGCTACCCCCTACAGTTTTTGTCTGATTTCAATATAACTTGGCACACAAGTAGACTACACTAAGATATATAATTGTGTCCATCGGTTTTTGATTATGATGAATGATGTTGCCGTGGTTACTAAAGATAGAAATTTCTGTGAAATCTTTTAAAATGCTACTCCTCCTACAGTTTTGGTTTGATTTCAATACAACTTGGCATACAGGTAGACTACACTAAGATATATAATTGTGTCCACCGGTTTTTGATTTCGATGATCGGTGTTGCCGTGGTTACTAAAAATAGAAATTTCAAAATACTACACCTCCTGCAGTTTTAGTCCAGGCATTTGATATGATTGACAGCTGCTTTTTCAATAAAAATGGAAATCGTAAAATTACTTACCTGGTCATTGGTCATTTGCAAAATTATTTTGTTAAAATACGTTCTGATTGCACACACAAGTACTCTGAAGTTGACATCAAAGTGATGCTTGAGTTTCTTATTGAGAATATCTATGTGGTCTTCGAACAATCTTTTCGAATTCCTATGAAAAAAGACGTTAATGGTAATAGAACAACCAGACAATATGATAAACGTGATGACTTTAACTTTATATCACCAACTTCCCTTATCTATGCAGCAATATACCATCTTCACCCGCAAACAGAGTATATATATCTCAACTGATTCGATAAGCAAGAGCATGCTCTACGGATGAACAATTTCTAAAGCGAGGTAAATTATTAACAAGCAAGTTGATGAAACGAGAATATTAACAGTCTCGTTTAAAGTCATCATTTCGTAATATCTATGGTCGATACAATGACCTTGTCAGCAAATACAATTAATAAATTTATCATTGAGACAAATTGTATTCCATTTTTGATACACTAAATTGACGATTGATTTTTTTCGTTATTTCATGATCATAACAAGGAGCACACGACAGTTGTGACCCGTTAGTCACTCCTCCATGGCACCTGATTCCACCTCAGATGTTTCGGGGGTCCGTGTTTGCTCTCCTCTTATTTTGTTTTGTTTTTATGGACTTTGATATTGAATACTATACAATTATGGACTTCAGTGTAGGTCGATATGTGGTTATAAGGACTCATGGCAATGTTGATATTGACTGAAGACACAGAAAGTGATAGCGACCGAGCCTGAGTCTGTGTCATAAGAACATGTGTCCTTATACCACATATTGACCGTGCACTGAAGTCCACAATAGTTATATTATATTTCACTCAAAGTGACTCTCTCTACCATCGGCTCATACATTCACCTCTGTCGTTGGCTTGCGTATATCACAGTGATAAACACGAGGAATAATGCATTTGTTTTAATTCATTATAAGTCAATTTCTATACTTATGTCTTAGTTTTGAGATAGATATTTACTGAATCAATCCAGAAGTATTAATTTAATTTGAAACAATCCTAAAAATATCACGTTTTATACGTCAAAAATATTGACGTGAGCCCATTGCAGAGGTGTCTGAAAGAGGAACGAACGCTTGTCAAAGTGAATGCACTGACACAGTCCTAACTGTACAGACTCGGCTGTCGGTTAAAACATGCTTCTTAAATTATGACGTCACGTTTTACGTAACTTTGGTGCAACCGAACGGTGTGTCGTGTGATATCGTTTTCCTCGAACGCGTTTTCGTGTCGACTCACAAAAGGAGGAATATCACATGACGCACTTTCAGCCAATGAGAATTACAACAATAATCTTCTTATATAATAATATGTTTTACGGTGTGACCGTTGGGGCGACCGCAGTTTATTTACTATCATAAACCTACACATGTACTGTCTATCATTCAAGAAAAAGAAATCAAAAAAAATAAAACAAAACAATAAAAAGAAATCATTTCCCAAGCATCGGGATCGAGATTCCGAACATCTCGGAAGTTTCCGACAAAATCGGAAATACCCGAACCGTTGAAGTGATAAAGTATGACGTCAGATAAAAAGTTCTGTTGACTTAGGCCGCAAACGCTAGTTTTATGGAAAAGAGATTGCATTAAATCGTTCTTTTCAAGTATTAGTTGTTGCAGTGTTTTAGCCACCATGTTGCTATGCACCGCAACATGTTTTCCGAGTTTCACGGAAGCAACCGACATAACTTCGTTAAAATTCGTAAGTTTCCGGTGACGTCATTTGTATCATTTCCGAAGGGCAAGGTGAAGGCCGGTGTTGTGGCATGGGGGTATTTTTTGGAATAAGGTAAGGCAAAATCATTTTGTTAAGATTTCGGTAAGAAACAATGTTCCTTTAATTTTTTTTACTATTTTTGATTTATTCGCGCAAAGGACATTGGGTAGTGCAGGAATTCTGGGAATGTTGCACAGAGAAATTTGGCTGACGTATTTACAGATTTCAATCCGAATTTCCTCTGTTCATACACGTTAGTCTATTGAGCTCGCTTCGCGACGCTCGCTAATATGTTGTACGGTGTGACCGTTGGGGCGAGCGCAGTTTATTTATTATCATAAACCTACACATGTACTGTCTATCATTCAAGAAAAAGAAAGCAAAAAGAATAAAACAAAACAATAAAAAGAAATCATTTCCCAAGCATCGGGATCGAGATTCCAAACTTCTCGGAAGTTTCCACAAAATCGGAAATACCCGAACCGTTGAAGTGACGAAGGTTCTGTTGACTTAGGACGCAAACGCTAGTTTTATGGAAAAGAGATTGCATTAAATCGTTCTTTTCAAGTAAGTTTTTGCAATGTTTTAGCCACCATGTTGCTATGCACCGCAACATGTTTTCCGAGTCTCACGGAAGCAACCGACATAACTTCGTCAAAATTCGTAAGTTTCCGGTGACGTCATTTGTATCATTTCCGAAGGGCAAGGTGAAGGCCGGTGTTGTGGCATGGGGGTATTTTTTGGAATAAGGTAAGGCAAAATCATTTCGTTGAGATTTCGGTAAGAAACAATGTTCCTTTAATTTTTTTACTATTTTTGATTTATTCGCGCAAAGGACATTGGGTAGTGCAGGAATTCTGGGAATGTTGCACAGAGAAATTTGGCTGACGTATGTACAGATTTCAATCCGAATTTCCTCTGTGCATACACGTTAGTCTATTGAGCTCGCTTCGCGAGCGTCGCTTCGCGACGCTCGCTGCGCTCGCTATTATACAATTGTGGACTTCAGTGTAGGTCGATATGTGGTTATAAGGACTCATGGCAATTGATATTGACAGAAGACACAGAAAGTGATAACGACCGAGCCTATGAGGTCGGTATCATTTTCTGTGTCTGAGGTCAATATCAATTGCCATGACTCCTTATAACCACACATTGACGATATCATTTTCCGCCGACGCGCTTTCGCGTCGATATCACAAAAGGAAGAATATCACGTGATGCCCTTTTAGCCAATTAAAATTACGAAAATAACCTTCTTATATAATATTGTTCGTTATCTCCATATTCTTCTGATTATAATTAAGGAATGAAGCTTATTTCAACTTTTGTTATACGATATAACATAACTTGGGGGCAGTTGACGCTTTATAAACCGCAAAGCGGTTGAAATAAGCTTCATTCCTTATATTTTAATTTCAACATAGACAATGAGACAATTTTTCCATTTTTTCTTTCGGAAAAAGGCTTCAAATATCGCATATTTTAAAAGTTAAAGGTAAGCGGAGTAATACGTTTTTGACGTAACTCATTGTGACGTAGGCAAGTTATGTTATACAAAATGGATAAAACCGCTTAACCAATCAAATGACGTATTACACCTAAAATTAAATTATTATACTTTGGCATGCAATTAGACTACATAGAGATACACAATTATCAGTTTTGTGTTTTTGATTTTGATGAATGATGTTGCTATGGTAACTAAAATTGAAAATTCTGTAAAATTTTATTTAAAACTACTCCTACAGTTGTAGTCTTATTGCAGTCTTGCCACAAAAAGAGAGTTAATCAAGGACCATTATTCTTTTTATTGCTTTTGTAAAGTTTTATGTCCCAACTGCTACTTTTTTCTTCCTTTATTATAAGTACGAACCAGTAGAACTACAGTCTCGACAGAGACTTCTGGTTTAAAAACACGATCCTAGCGTGTAGGCATGGGGCACAATATTTAACAATTTATATGGAAGTATCCATAGTTAATGTTAATTAATTCAAGTTTTTTTTTTTCAAATCATTACCCTCGGGGATAGTGTAGGGTCACAATGGACGATCAAAGATTTACATAGGGTTATATTGTAATTGGGATGTCCGTCTGTTACTCTTTGGGGTACCCATCTCTTATCCTCAACTCCTCTCTAACCATTGAATGAAATTTGATATGTTTAGGGTTTCCGATAGCAAAACATGGATACTGTCATTATATTCATATGGGAAGCGGGGGTGGGGGGGGGGGGGTTAAAATAATCTATGTTGAGTTGATAAGAAGTTACATATGACTAAATATGTGAATATTTTTCATGTGGAATAAATAAACTTATTCTTGTTCAGCGATCTGCACTGCATGGATTGTACACGGTGATTAAAGAAATAACTGGTATTCCTATAAAATATTAGTTTAATATCCGATTTACCCATTGCACCATTGCACGTATCTAAAATGTTAAATATAATTGATTAAAGACATTTCTATTCTAAATATGTTACTTAGTTTTTTTTTTAAAGATGACTTGACTGTTTCCACGGGCCCGGATGTCACTGGTAGAGTTGGAGGAAGTGTAACCATTACATGTACTGTGACAGGTCCAGAGGTAAACACAATAAAGTGGAAACAATACAGAAATAACAGTTATCTTCAAGACATCACCATAGATGGTTCAAAATACACTGCAGGAGGAACATTGTCAACTCCATCTCTAACAATAAACACCCTGAATACAGATGACGCAGGACAGTATCAATGTACAGCTAGTAATCCTGGTGGAACTTATCCTAGTAATAATAAAGCCACTGTCAACGTGCTCTGTAAGTATTCAGGGTATTTTTTCATGTAATTTTTGTACATAATAATGTAGTTATCGTGTTGTTGTTTTATGAAGAAAAAATATATCAATTTATTGTAGTTTAAATAACAACTATGTTAAAACATTTACAGTGGAGTCTCATTTACCTGAACGCTTTGGTTCCTGTACAAAAAAAATGTTTTTTCTGAGTGTATTTTGAGACACTGTAAGTCTTTTAATTACACGATATTAAAATTTCGCGATATCTAGAAAAAACCCATTTGCGACGGTTTTAATTTTACGCTGCAAGAAATTAATCCAAAATTTCGCACACACATTTATATATTTTTAACAATTAATAATAATTCACGATGGGTTTAATTTCGCGGTAAAATAATTGATTGCGAACATAGCGAAATTTAAACCTTCGTGATTATTTGCCAATCTACAGTACTTTATAGTTTCTCTGCTTCTACATGTATGAATAAAGATTAAACGCGTCGTTTTAGGATTTATTCTGAGCAAGTAAACCATAAACAATTAAATAAATATTCCAAATAAAGTTCGCCGGGGATGCTTATCCTTGATCTACCGTATGCTTTGATCACATGGGTTTTTTTAGTTGTTGAAGTTTGTTCACTGTTCATTGAGTTTCACGATTGATTTTTCTTTCTAAAATGTTTCTATGGTTTTTAAAATAGTACGATTGATGTTAGCGAATCTAAAATCCTTTTTTACGAACATCTGTATATATTATTTATAATTAAATTATTTCTCTTGTAATCCAACTAGGTTTAGGTTATGTAGAAATGAAAACAATTTATTTATTCGGAATCTGTTATTATTTTTGATTAACAGATGGACAGTTCAATGAGGATTGTACTGCAACTATACCCTGTGATGCTTCCAGTTATTTTATATGTAATAGTTGCAAATGTCTTTGTAACACAACTTACTACCACAAAGACAAAGTATGTTATCCAAGTAAGTTACCTCAAAAAATGGATACTTATTGTATTTAATATGATAAAATCCAAAAAATGACGTGAACAATTCAATTCAAAATTGGTTTCAAAATTAGCATCATTCAAAGTTCTTAATCATGCTAATTGAAAACTACTGTAAACGTATTACATTTGGCTGTGTATTCTTTTCAGCGGCTTTGGTGGAACGCAGCAATCGCTTAATCAAATCTATGCTAACTTATTCAAAAATCAATTTCCGCCAAATATCGCACACGCTAAATATGATACATTTACAGTATCATAGGTTTAACTCTGTTTGTTTTTTTAAGGGGATGAAGGACCTTTAGCTGAAAAAATACCTGTCATTCAATTTTTTTCATATTTTGTATCTCTCTAATTAAGTAAGTCCCACATACCTAAAAGCAGATATATCAATAGGATTTTAGACTTATTTTTGAGATATTGAGTGACAAATACGAAACTCTACAGTGTCTAGGTGAATTTTGATTCCCTGTGTTGCGGGGCCCATTACTCGGTCGATGATTGATTTTTTTCAGCAAAGAGGGAAACAGAAGAGTGGATCAATCTATTCCGTAATTTGATACTATTTGCATGAAAGTGTGAATGTTTTTAGATATTTTTATACAAGATCGTAAACTCAAACAAGCAGTATTTTTTTTTTGACAAATACAGTCGTTTCAATCTGGTTTTGTACATATTTAATCAGAGATTCTGACGTAATTAAACTGAATCATGTGACCATACATCCTTCGTCCCCTTAAGATCAACTAAGGGACCTTGATTGGACTTCTCCATTCCTTGTCTATTTTGATTCTTAAATATCAGGAACTCGTCTAACTCCCTATATAAGCGTCATCAACAGTACAACATCACAGTTCTCTGTATTTTGGAGCCATCCCTCTGTGGATTACGACCTTGTCATCAGTTATAAGGTCTCCTGGAGGCAGAATGGTGGTTCTACATCTGAACAAACAGTGGATAGGGGGAAGAACAGCATCATTGTCAACTCAGGCCTAATGTCTGGTCAGCTGTATATTTTCACTGTTTCTGCTGTTGTCAGACTAACAGATCCAGAGGAAACCATAACTATACAATCACAGGAGGAAAAAGTGAGATTAGGTTTGTAGATACATTTCATTGAATATATGAATACCCTATATATAACTTTAACCATTTTAACTAGTTTTAGCTCACCCTAATGAAGTTGAAGCTTATGTGAAAGCCTCAGCATTGGCGTCGACATTCCAACTTAAAGTTTTGATGCAGTTTTCTCTTTAAGTCTTTTTATGCCCTATATTGTTCAGAGATGTATGTAAGATGCTTCTAGTGTGTTTCTTTGTACAAGATAATATTTCAGATGCTGCAATTTCAACAAAGAGCAAGTTTAAATTTCTGGTGCATGTTAAAGTTTTTGGTGAATGTCTAATATCTAAGTAACTGTAAGCCTTATCGTGACCAAACTTGTATATGGATGTTACATCTAAGGATTCACACTTTCAGGCTTGCTTTGGATGCTAGGTCTGACCTGCATTTTCTAGATGAATGAACAGATTAAGGTTTATTGCTATTTCTAAGATGCTTGATTTGAGTAACATTTTCTGATGAATGACTAGTTAAAAAGTTCAGGATAAGTTTGTTTCCAAGTAATTGCAAGCCCTATAAGATCAGAACTACACTAGTTGATTATTAGTTTAATTTAGGATTTTTACTGGTCTTCTTACAAAAGACAACATTAATTGAGGTGAGCTGTGTAATGTCTGACGATTGATGTTAGCGAATCTAAAATCCATAAATTCTGATTTATGTTTTTTTTTGTCAGATCCACGTCCACCTGGTCCTATATTACATAGTGAAAGTTCTTTAGCTCATGACAGCCTCACCTTAAAGTGGACTCCTCCATCCAATACCTTCGTTACAAAATATGAAGTGATGATTGATGGTGAAAGCCAAACAACTGTGAATAATAATCCAATGCTCCAATTTAATAAAATATTAACCCCTGGGAAATACTATGTTGTGAGAATTGTGACAATCAGTGGTTCATCAAGTGAACTAACTGGCGACAAGAGGAGCACAAGATACAAAGAGACAATTAGAATTACCCCGACAAGTAAGATTAGGATTTTTGCTGCTAACAATTCTTATGAAAATAAAAATTAAAATTTTGTTGGGACTAAGGTAAACAAATATTATATTCATTTGACTCAACAGAATACTGGGGTATGTTATCATCTGCCCTTGTTTATATTTCTCATATACCTTTCTCTTCTTTAGAACCAGATCCACCTATAAATGTTTGTTGTCCACAACATCCAAAGGACATCTCTTTAGAAATATCTTGGGAGCCTCCTATCAACCCTAATGGACAGATTGTGATGTACCAGATTTACTTAAACCCTGGAGGTCTTACTATCAATACAACAAACAATGTGACAAATTACAATGTCATAGGGTTAAGTGAAGGTATTTCGTTTTAGCTCACCTGAGACGAAGGCTCAAGTGAGCTTTTCTGATCATATTTTGTCCGTTGTCCGTCCGTCTATTAACTTTTCACATTTTTGACTTCTCAAGAACAACTGGGCTAATTTAAACCAAACTTGGTACAAAGCATTCATAAGGAAAGGGAATTTAAATTGTTTAAATGATGGGCCAAGACCAATTACAAGGGAAGATAATCAAGAAAAGAAAAAAATAGGGTGGGTCAATAAAATCTTCTTAAATACTGTAAACAAAGAGTTTGTATGTTTTTTTTAATTCTAAAAAAAATCTATTAAGATATTTTTATCATTATTTTTTTACTGCTTTAGTGCTACTAATTTCAACAAGTATCAGATAAAATTCTAATTCTGTAATTGCTGAATAACGTTCTTATAGCTTTCGAAGAAAAGAGAGCAGTAAAATGATTCTCCTGGGATTAATTGCTTGCTGCAGAAAAAGTACGGGCTTATCTTTATCTGTCGCAAGATTGATAAATATTAAACATCTTTTTCTGCAACTGATGTTTGTTTTGAAGGTTAGGTCAACCCTGGATGATACATTGTACTTGCATTCACTGAACGTTAGCATTTTTATAAAACACATCCTTTTAAGTACACATTTAATTGGATTATTATAAGATAGAAAGTTTTACCTATTTTATGTCGGTACAAAGTTACTAGTTAGATATTCTTTTACATTCGCGAATTATCTTGATTTTTTTAACAATACATTTTAGCTTATATTCAACATATCTATTTTTTTTGTAATCTGTTAAAACTCATTCCATAAGCTGCACCCTTATAATACTCAGCGGGGCCCCTGTTGACTGGACAGTTTTCTAGTTGCTTGAATAATTAGATTGAGTTAATGTCATTTTAAATTTTTTTTTCAGAGGAAATGTATAATTTCGCTTTGCGGACAATCAATGATGCAGAGGAAACACAAAAACTTAGTGATCCAACTGAGACTATCAACTGTTCAACAAAGGCAGGAGGTAAATGGATGTACAAACTGACTAGAGATCAAAAACATTGTGTAAACAAAGTTGGAATGAACGAAAGTCGTTTGCTTCTTTTTTAAAAAAAAAAAGGTATGCAATGCATAGGAATAGGGACTCAAGATAAAAATGAAAGAGTTGACATATTAACATGATTAAAGAGATGGAGAATTTGAGAAATCTTGATTTTTTATATTCTTCATTGATCTATACCACATTGGTATAATAGCTCTGCTGTTTTGTGTTTACTTACACAACAAGATATGAAGTTAAACTTGACAAATGACAATTTATTCTAATAATTATTTGGGGGATAGCCTATCATAGTGTGGGACCACAATTCAGTAATAGAATTATGATGTATTCTAGGAAAATAATATTTTTCGTTAGAAAAACAAAGCTATGTTTAGTCAGATTGCTGAAGAAGTATCTTATGGTAGTGAAGATTCAAGTTTGTTCAAATCATGACTCTGTCAGGAGTAGGGTTTGACTACATCCATTTGAGTCATAACATGAGGGTAGGGTAGTTTGGGGTTTACAACAGGGATCAAAGTTTTACATCGGAAAAATTGGCAGGGTTTTATTGACTCATGTGTCAGCTTAGCTTTCGTTCCTGAGAGAAAGGTGAAGTAATTTTTTTTCTGATCAAAATTTTTGTAGTTGTCATCATACCCATTTCATCTTCTTCCACAGGCCTTGGCATCGCTGACTAAAAAATTGAGATGTTAGAAAAAATATCTTTTTTTTTTTACTAGGGATGGCAATTGATTACAGATCTAGAATTGCTAATCGATTAACAACAAGACGTTCCGACCGATTAACCGGTTAATCGTTTCAAACTATTAAACAATTATATTTACATTACATATGTTTTTGCATATAAAGTGAATGGAAATCTGTTGCATTTGAAACACCATAACAAAGACAGGGTACCAAGAGGTAAAGCATGCGTTTTAGTTTGACGTCATAATCGTTGAACGCCGAGGACGAGCAAGCGAAAATCGAAAAATCACGCTCAAATTGACCAGATGCTGTCACGTTGGCTTATCCATTAACTGTGGCTTACATGAACGATAATACTTAGGTTTTTAAAAAGAAATCATATTTGCAGTTAAGGTTGACAATTAAAAAATGTAAAAATAAGCAACAAATTATTATTTTTTGTGAGATATAGTCTCATAAATGCAACGGTGTATGCAAAAAAGTTGAATAACGCGCGTTAGCGTTGCAGTTATGAGACTATATCTTTAGATTTATTGCTTAATTATAACAACAAATTCCTTAATTAATATACACAAGAAGACTGAGATAGAGACATTATAAGTTAGAAACATTCTGCTCATTATTTGATCAGGAAACTATATGTACATGTAATTCATCTTACTTTGATTTCTATAGTTAGACAAAAAAGTAAGAAAACCATGAATCTTGTCTTAGAAATTAAACGCAGATATCTTTCCAGTGCAGATGTAAACCAAAGTCAGTCTGTCAAAAGATTGTTTGAACTATAACTTATACGATGTTTTTTTTCCCTAAAAATAGAATTTTATAGAGAAAGACAAACGATCGATATGGATGCATATTCATTTAAATTGCTCAATGATGATTATTTAAAATCATTAAAGTATCACAGGATGGTCACAATGTTTTAAAACAATAATTTGATTTTAAAAGCAGTTATTAACACTTCACAAACCGTCCAACTATAACTTGCGATCTCAATCCGGAGGGCCATATAATTATCTCCAAATAAGCAGAGATTTCCTTTTTCAAAAATGAAATTTAAGAAAATTTCTCTCAATTCAATTCCGACTAACTGATTGCAGATTTTCTAACCGATTACCATTGTTACGACCGATTAATCGATTAACAGGTTACAAATGTACAAATTGCCATCCCTATTGTTTACCCAAACCAATTTTATTAACTCATATTTAATCGATCCAAAGGCATGTGTCTTCTTCAGAACCACTTGGCCAATTTCTGTCAAACTCTGCACATAGTATTATTGGGTATTAATTTGTTATTCACTTATTTTCAAATGAAGTGCCAAACCCTTTTCCCAAGGGCGGATTATATTAAAAAGGGGTTATTCTGTTAGATCTTTAAAAGAAATATAGAACCACGAAAGATGAAAGTTGTATGAAAACTTATTTACACAGTGTAGATTCAATTCAAATCATAACCCTCATGAGTAGTATACAAGAAGTTTTTTTCAAGAATTTCAAGACCATGATAAATCATATGGAATCAACCATATATAGGTAATTTGGATTCAAGTCCCCTAGAGATAGAGTTAAGGATTTCAAACAGAAAAAGGACCAAATTCTTTATCCTTAAATGTTCATCAAGTACTTAATACTCTC